AGGGCTGAGGTGAGAGTGCTCCTGTAGGGGCCAGATTTGTGTGGTTAGAACCCCCATCCCCATTGCCAAAAAAGGGAGACTGAAGGCTTTTTAATGTCTGCCCAAAATGTGGGCAGAGAGCAGGGCTTGGAAGCTGAGAGCAGTCAGACGTCAAAAACAGAATCAGACTCTATTACAGAACTGTAAAACAAAAAATCCTAAAGTCTAAGAAACTGGAAATCCAACATATTATATAGACCCCCAATCACATGGGAAATTAATTAAATGTAAGTGGTCTAAATATACCACTTAAAAGGCAAAGATTTTATTTTTAATAGTTTATTGTGTTTTAATAGCAAATTTACAGGAACAGCACAGAAAACAGTATTAGAAACGTGTACTTGCATGTAGGACAACTCAGAAAAGTATAGTGAATAGATGGAATTTACTGTATGATAAAAATGCTATAAACACTATCTTGTTGCCATTAATAAGAAATTTACTTGTTTTAAAAAAATCTAAATGCTGGCATTGTCAGGAAAAATTTAGCACATTTACTTATAATTGTTATAAAGTTGAAATGCTGAAACTTGTTCGCTGAAACGTTTTGCATTAATGCTTTATTTTACATTCCTGCATTTATATTAAAAGTCCACACACAAATGAAAATGGAAAAACTGCCAATACCTGATTTCTGTCCCCTATTTTCCACTCACAGTCATATACTTAGGTGCCCTTTGACCCCATGGGGGGAAAAATATATCCAATGTTCAGAACTATCAATAACAGAAGAGAAACAAATTTTTTTTTGAGAATGGAATGTTTCCCATCATAATGGATTCTTAAGCACTTTCTCCACATATGCGGCGTGCTAGCTGGATGTCTTGGCATAATTGTTACACGTTTGGCATGGATAGCACACAGGTTGGTATCTTCCAAAAGGCCAACCAAATAGGCTTCACTTGCCTCCTGCAAAGCACCAGTAGCTGTGCTCTGGATGCACTGATCTGTTTTGAAGTCCTGAACAATTTCTCACACCAGACGCTGGAAAGGAAGTTTGCCAGTTAGAAGTCAGAAGACTCATGATAACGTCTGATTTCAGAGTGCCACAGTACTGGGCCTAAATGATGAGTGTTCTTCAGCCCTCCAGTAGAGGGTGCACTCTTGCAAGTGGCCTTTGTAGCCAGTTACTTCCTAGGTGCTTTATCACTGGTGGATTTGCGGGCTGTCTGCTATTTATAGGAGCCCTGGTATAGAGATGTCCTCACGTACCCTCTTCTATAGAGACCTCCTCACTTAACCCTCCTTCCAGAGAGAACTCCTCACCCCCTTCTATAGAGACCTTCTCACTTACCCCCCTTCTTTGGCTGGAGCTGGGTAAGCTAGAGGCAGCACTGGCATTGGAGAGAGACAGTGGCGAGGGGCAGTGCGGAGGCGGCTGTGAACATAATTGAAAAGGCTAAGGTTTTTCGTTAAGGTTTTTACCATAGGATGTGTGCATTTGCCAAAAAGAGACAGAGATAGTGGGAGAGAAATTGAAAAAATTATCTACCAGGGGAACCAGCAGTTAGCGTAATGGCTATGTCGCTGGACTCCCACGTAGTCGACTGCGGTTCGCGTCCTGGACCCAGTGGCTTAAAACTCAGGCCAGGCACGTGTGCGTGCGTGCCCAAGATCCCAAGAGGAGAATGGAGGAGAAGGGATTGCGGCATGACCATCCCCCCTGGGGGTGATTTCTCGCTTTCTGTCTCTATGACTCTCTCTGTTTGGTGAGCGAAAAACCTCTCCAAAAAAAAAAGTAAAAAAATTATCTACCAGGGAGGATGGCCATGCCACAGTTCCTTCTCCCAGGATTTTGGGCATGCATGCACCTGGTGTGGTTTTCAAGCCACTAAGCCTGGAACTTGAACCGTGCAGTTGGCCACATGAGATCTAGTTGCTTTAACCACCGTGCCACCAGTTGGCCCACTTTCTTTTTTTAAAGCTTTCTTTTTTAAAAAGAATTATTTATTTAATTTTATTTATTAGGACAAGTATCGTTCAGTTTTATTAAGGAATCAATCTGTTCTATAAAACTGCTTCTTCTTCTTCTTCTTCTTTTTTTTTAAGAGTGATTTTTTGCTCTAGAGGTTTTTGCTATAGGGTGTGTGTGATAGCCAGAAAGACAAAGACAGAGAGACAGAGACAGAAAGTGAGAAATCACCGCCCCCCAGGGGAAATGGCCATGCCGCAGTTCCTTCTCCTCCAGTCTCCTCTCAGGATCTTGGGCACGCACGCACACACACCTGGTGCGCGTTTAAGCCACCGAGTCCGGGACTCGAACTGCGGTCGACTACATGGGAGTCCAGCGACACAGCCATTACGCCAACTGCTGGTTCCTGTTCTATAAAGCGTCTAATGGTATCAGAATCACCAAGACCGATGATAGTGTCTTTGGCCTACCATGTGCGGTTCGGTGTTACTGTCACTGTCGTGACGGGTGCCTGTGTGGCCATTGTGTTGTAGTCCTTGTTTTGTATCCCTTCACAGCTGAGAAGATGCTGACAGGATGGCTAGTTTCACTTTGCCTTTTCTGATCATCTTCAGCATATATTCATCCCCCTCTGTACTTTCTACTTTTCATAATGAATGGATCCTGGAGTTGGTTGATTCCAGCAATTTCTTTGTCTTCATTGTGGCCACCATCTTCCTGACCCAGGTCGGGGATGATCTCCAACCAAGAGCAGCCACCACGGTAGCAAGGGAGCAAGAGAGACTGAGAGTGGAATTTCTAATCCAAGTGTTCTCTCATGTTTTCAGATGCTTATTTTGTGATATTTAATTCATATTGGGGTATGGCTACAGATCTCTTTTCCTGGTAGTTCTTTGGCGAATATTTTTGTCAGTTAAAATATTTTGCAGGTACTAGCATTTGGCATAATGGCTATGTCACTGGACTCCCATATAGTCAAGTGTGGTTTGAGTCCCGGACCCGGTGGTTTAAACTCACGCTGGGCATGTGTACGTAACTTAGAGGAGAATAGAGGAGAAGGAATTGCAGTGTGGCCATCCCCCCTGGGAGGTGATTTCTCTCTGTCTCCCTGTCTGTCTCTTTCTTTCTGGCTAGTGCATATGCCCTATACCAAAAACTTCTCTAAAAAAGAAACAAATTTTGGGGACCAGCATTTAGCATAATGGCTATGTTGTTGGACTCCCATGTAGTAGACTGCGGTTCAAGTCTCGGACCTGGTGACTTAAACTCACTCTGAGCGTGTGTGCGTGCATGCCCAACATCCCGAGAGGAGAATGGAGGAGAAGGGATTGCGGCGTGGCCATCCCTCCTGGGGGGTGATTTCTCGCTTTCTGTCTCTTTGTCTCTCTCTGTCTTTCTGGGGAGCACATGCACCCTATAGTAAAAACCTCTCTAAAAAAAAAAAAGAAACAAATTTTGCATTTTACTTTGTTTAATTTGCACATCCCCTGCCATTTCTCATACAATTTAAAATATTTGTGTTTCCTGAGACAGTAATAACATATTTCACATGAATTGAACAGACTAGAAGGACCAGAGCAGGTTTCATGTGTAAATGTCAGTGGTAAAGATGATCTTTTAAAACAGTAGGCAAAGGGCACACTTGACAAGAAGTGGATCGCTTGGCTGTTAGGAAAGCAACACTGAGCTATACCTACAGCACTCCATTTATTAAAACAGAACAAAACAAAACAAAACAAAACAAGGGGGTCAGCAGGTGGCATGGTGGTTAAGGGCACTAGATTCCCAAATAGCCAACTACAGTTTGAGTCCTGGACCTGGTGTTTTGTTTTCTCACTTTCTCTCTCTTTCACTCTGTCCCTCTCTGGTCAAGTTTAAATAAATAATTAAATAAATAAAATAATTATTTAAAAAAAACCCTCCAGAAACCCAAAAACTAAGCAAAACTTAGAATAATTAAGTAGCATAATGAAGAAACTAAACATAAAAGGCAAAGTTATAATATTGTTGGAAGAATATATTTCTCGCTTTCTATCTCTCTGTCTCTCTCTGTCTGGTGAACGCACGTGCCCTATAGCAAAAAACCTCTCCAAAAAAAAAAAAAATACAAATGGCAAATATAAATGTATAAAGTTGAATTCATTATCAAGGAAGTGACATTATAATGAGACTTTTCACCTGCTAGATGAGCAAATGTTATTGCTAGAGGGTGCATGTCTTTGTGAGAGAGAGTGTACAAGCATTCTCCTGATGGTACAGGGTCATGCCACGGTCCCATCTTCATCGCTCTATTCTCTTGGGATTTTGCACATGCACGCCCGGCATGATTTACATGCTGTGAGGGCCAGGATTCAAACGTGAGCAGTCAGGTGGATCCAGCCACCTTAGCAACTGGGCTACAGTCAGCCTGAGAAAATCATTTTGAAAGCTGAGTATGGTAGTACGTAGTGAAGATAAATAGGTGCTTTTATACATGGTAAATAGCAATACACCTGAACGGTTTTTCAGATTTTCTTTTTCTGTTCCAAATCTGAAATATGCATCCTTTTTTAATCTAATAATTCTTAAATTAAATGAAAAAAAAATACTCTCTGTAATAAGAATATTCGTTAATGTAAATTTCTGTCAGTGTAAGAGGGAGTAAAACGTTAAAGGAAGGTGTCCACGAATGTGGGAAGATTTGCAGGGATTCTTTAAATACGAGATACAGGAGGCGGTTGCAGGCAGCACCGCAGTGTGACCCAGAGCGCCTTATGCTGGCGGATGGAGGTGCACTGCCAGTCTGCACACTGGCCCGTAGCAGGGCAGCGGTAGACGCTTCTGTTCTGAGGTCTTGTGTGCGGCTTGAACATACTCATTTTTGCCTGGGTATTTGAAAACAAATCCTAGCTTAGTAGTAACTGCAGGTGCACCCTATGAGGGGCAGTTAAGCAGCTGTCATCTCCACGCTTCAGGTGAGGGAACAGATATTTCCAGAAAAGTCGCTGCCTCCGCCTGTGACCTGGTACCTCTCACATTGGGCTCTCGGCCGGTTCCTTTTCTGTTCCAGGCGGCCAGCGCCGAGGGCGTCCTCTACGTGCTGACAGTGCCGCCACTCCAGGTGGTCTCCACAGTGACCTTGTTCCCTCACCACTCTGTGAGTCTCCTCTGCTCACCTGACCACCAGTGGGTGTTTGCTTCTGTGCAGGATTCAGACCTGAGCCCGAAGGTCAGTGCCTGCTCAGTCCTTGTCCCCCGGGAGCCTGGCTCTGGGTGAGGCAGGTGGAGGTCCAGGCCTCACAGACAGATGCTTTGCATGCTGCAGGGGAGGAACTGCCCTGTTCACGCTGGCTGCTCCTGTCATAGCGCCCCCTATGCCGGCCAGGGCCCCTCCTGGAGCAGCAGCACTGGCCTGTCCTCGGGCTCTTGCCCCTGGAGCCTCTGCTCTTCCCAGGCTGCCACACTGCCTCTAAGCCGGAGGGGTGGGCGCTTTGGCTGGGGAGGGCAGAGCTCAGTTTGAACAGATTCAGGGCGTTAGGGCTGTCATGGTGGGAACGTTCAAGAGCCTTTGGTGACCAAGGACAGAACCTCAGTGAGATGGGGATAGTGATCGGGTCAGGCTTGAGGATATATCTGTGGGAGGGGGTGTGTGCTGGGGTGTTAGGAGCCAGGCTCCAAGGAGAGGGGAAAAGGATGCAGTAGGACATTGGAGACTAAGCCAGACACTGCCCAGGGAAATCCCACACAAAGGCAGTTGATTTGGCTTCCATCCTGCCACTCTGCTGAGTTAGCTTGCCCAAGGTGCTTCCACTGGGGCCAGATATAGGCTGGGCTGGTCTGTGTGAAGCTTGGAAAGGAGGATTTACAAGTGGCATGGGCTGCCCTGCAAAGGCCAGAGGGTGGTTGGGGTGTGCAGGCAGAGCCATCGTCCCCGGCCAGGACTTGCAGCGGGTGGGGAGGCTCTGAGTACTCCTGGTGCTGAGAAGTACCCCCACCTGCAGGGTGACCGTGTGGCTTGTCTCCCAGGTGCTCTCCACTCACACCTTGCTGCACCCGTCAGAAGACGAACCTCCTGTCTGCTCCACCCTCCCTATCCGGCACAGTTCCAGAGCCTGCTGGGCTCCCGAGGAGGCAGCCAGGCTGACTGTGATGCACAAGAATGACAATAGCATGCAGCTGGTGGTCACTACCTATGAGCTGGGGGCCCAGAAGTCCAGGGACCGCATGGACATTTTGGGTAAGGTCCCATGGCAGGTCTGCGTGTCACCACCACTGCAGTGTGATGCCTCCAGCATGGGCTCTCAAGTTTCCCACGGGGCTTTCTCTTCCCTGTGAGTACAGATGGTGGTGTAGTGGTCCCCCTAAGGGTTTATGCTGTGAATGGACAGGCTAGTGGAGTGACTGGGCATTTCTCGGGTCCCCTGTGTGGCTCTGGGAGTCAGACATTGAATGCTATCCACACCTACAGTCTCCCTCCTGCTCATTTCTGCTGATTATCCATTCCATGTGCTTTTCCTGACCACGTCCATGGCCTGCCCTCAACACTGAGTGCGTATGAAGCTGAACAAAAGCTGTGACTCTTCCCCGAGGAGCTCCTAGTTTACTAGTAAAATCAGGCCCATAGCTGCCTCCGCAGTCTCCTCCCGTTTCCGGAATCCCACTTCTATGATGGGCCTTCCCTTTGATCCTTAGCATTTTTTCTTTGTATTATGTTCTTTTATTTTTATATCATCATTTGACCCTAAATTTTACTGTGTGCTTCCTGTGTTATATAACCCCTGTCTGAAAAGCATGAATTCTTCACAAGGGGTCTTTTTTTTTCCCTCATAAAATGGAAGCAATGCAGAATGCAGCACTGTGTCTTCACCAATAGCGAAACCTTTGGCAGATGTTCTAAATGTCCAGCTGTCACCCTGTTATGGTGGTGCTGTGTCTGGCCCCCTGGCTTATCCCCTCCACGAGCTTGCTGCACTGCTTTCTGCTGCTCCCTGTAGATGGCATTTTAACCCAGGCTTTTGAATCCACCGGCTGGACATCTGGGGATGGAAGCGCAGGGGTCAGGGTGGACTGCAGGGCCACCCGCAAAGCCGTCACTCTCTCTGTGGTCCCCATCGTCTCAGGCAAGGCCTCTGCCTGTCCAGAGAAACCAAACCGTGTGCTTTATTTCTGAAAGTAAAACAGATCGCCAGTTTCCTCTTGCCGGACACCACGAGGCCTCCTCACCTCATGAAGGGCCATGGCTCTCAGGTTATCCTGCTGGTGTCTGGGTCAGAGCTGGTGCTGTTCACTGTCCACGGCCTGCAGCTGGCAGCCTTCCAGGACCACCAGAGGCCCATCATGGCCATGTGGGTGGTGAGTGTGGCACCCTGCCCACATCTCGCTCTCTGCCCGCCTGTGGGAGTCCATGCCACACCCCATTTCCCTCTGTTTCAAGGACTCGAGCTGTGTTGTCACCTCCTCCTTTGATCTCTCCCTGCGAGTCTACATGTGGAATAAAGAGAATAAGCTCCCAGTCCTCAAGAGCTGCTACCACTTGCTTGGAGGATCCCACAGGTGGGCCAGGTAATCGGCTGCTTCCTTTGCTTTGCCTATAAATGGCCTCACGCGGCCCACCAAGCAGTGTGCTTAAGGAGCTGTGGGAGAGGCGTTCAGGGAAACTAGGAGGAGCTGACACTGAGGGACCAAAACCAAACAAAGGAACCTCTTCGAGGGATATGGACTGGCCCCCTGGGGCTCAGAGGCTGGGGACACGCAAGATGCCCAGGCAGCCATTGTTCGATCCTGTTTCCCTTTAGAAAGCCAGACTGCTTGTTCTAGCTGTGCCTCATCTACACCATCTCCTACAGGGGATGACCACCACCTGCTGCCAGCATCGCTGCATTTTACAGAGGACACAGAGTTGGGGTATTTGTCCCACAGAGAATGCACAGTCAGGCCCAAGTGGACCCTGACCGTTCCCTTGTGGAAAATGGCTTCCCAGAGAGTGATGAGACTGATCAGGAATCGGTAGGCTAATTCTGAATTCTAGAATTTGTCCATATTGTATCAGGTAGCCTTCCTCTTCTCTCAGAAGTTTCTAGAATAGTTGGAATCATTGTGATTAAAACAGTTAGTATCAGGAGGGCCCAGAATTGATACTCCTGCTTAAGGATGTGATATTTGCCAGTTGTTACAAGTGAATTCAGCTCCTCAAATCAAAGTCAGAAGAAACAAGAGGTGGAAATGGGGCTGGGTGAGAAGAGGGACAGGAGGCTGAACTTAGTTTAAGGTAATGGGTTTTACCACTGAAACATTCGTCCACGTCCCGGTTTAATGCCTGGCCTGCTCTGTCTCTGCAGTGGATTCACGCACGTGGAGAGTGACAGCATGAGCATCGTTGGGGTGGAAGCCAGAAGCACTGGAACAAGTATTCTGAGGGTGTACCACTTCAGAGTGCAGCGTGGCTCAGAAGAGTGCGTCACTGACGATGGTGTCACTTCGAGAACGAACTCGCATATATGCAGAGACTAACGCAATCATGTTGTCAAAGGAACTAGTACATCTCAGATGCCTGCTGTGTGCCAAGCACTGTGCATTGTGACTGTGCTTTTAAATCCTCACAAAAAACTAATAGAGGTATCCTCTCTGTTTTGATTTGTTTTGTTTTGAGCGATTTGCTATAGGGCACATGTGCTCACCAGAGAGACAGTGAGAAATCACAGCCCCACCCACCCTGGTGGGGATTGCGCTGCTGCAGTCCTTTCTCCTCCATTCTCTTGGGATTTGGGGCATACATGTCCAGTGTGAGTCTCAGGCCATGTGGGAGTCCGCATCTTAGCTGCTATGCTACCTGCTGGCTCCTTTCTCTGGCTTCAGACAAGAAAAATGAAATATAAAAGAAGCATAATTAACCCATTTTTGGCCTCATTCTTTTCAGCTGCTAAGCAACTTGGCCAAGATTATTCATATAGTAAGTGGCAGAACAAAGCTGCATGAATCGGGGTACTGGAAAGCCCAGGTTTCAAGTACCAGGATTGTAACACGATTGTTTTGGTTGTCCAAGTATGTAATGAAGTAATTTTGTTTTCCTGTGGCCTCGTAACAACCCATTTTTAAATTATTATTTTACATTTAATCACTATATATCATCACAGCATACAAGATGAGTTTCCCAGCATGAATACACTATTATTCATTCAGTCAAAACTGTTACCACACATATTATCAGTAGGTACTTTTCCATTTTTGGGTCCCTTACAAATTTTCCTTTTTTCTTTTTCCCCTCGAGTCCCTCCCTCTCACCCTCCCCCATTTCCCACCCTCCTCCCACACTGCCTCTGGTACCACAGTTGCTCTCCACGTTTTTGTGCCTTCCACTCTTTTAGTTTCTGCCCTAGAGTGCATACATAGAGTGCATGTATATTAAGCGGGACATACAATATGATAGTATCTTTAACTGGACTAATATGCAGTATATTAATGCTGGGAAAATTCGTTCTGCATGCTATAATGAATTTATATATAGTGATTGAATGTATAAAAAGTTTTAAATTAAAAAAAAGCCTCTCTTTCATAGTCTGGTTTGTTTTCCTTAGCAGTAAATATTTTCTATCTTCCTATTCTGTGTTTTGTGCTTCATTAAAACGTAGTTTTGCTATCACTCTATGAGTTTTGTGGCACCACTTCACTAAGTCCACGGCTGCCATTTTGTAACAGTGGCATCAAGGAAGCTGCGGCAGCTTACTGGGTGTCATATTGGAGGTTGTAACTGGCAAATAGTAGGAGCTGACACTGAGTGACCGAAACCAAAACCAGGGACCTCTTTGAAGTATAAGGAACAGCCCTCTGGGTCAGTGGGGAGGTTGGCTCAGGAGGTGGAGCCAAGGAGGCAGGGGCCATGCAGGATGCGCTCCAGCAGCTCTCCTGTGACCTCCCACTGTTTCCCTCACTTCTCTATGTTGTCTCTGTGTGACTGTCACCCCCTGAGCAGGCAGCATGGCCACCAGCTGCTTCTCTGAGAAGCAGCGAGGTTCAGAACGCCATGTGCACATGTATGTGAGGGACTTACACGTGTGGGCATGGCCTGCTGCTCCTAGATCTCATGCCCGTGCAGAGAATAACTTTCCTTCATCCTTAGGGCCTGTAGTCACCCATGCACATCAGTGCCACTATTCATGAGTATTTAACTGTATAGCATTCAGAAGTGGAGCACTAGAGATTTCCTAGGCCAGGGTAAGGAGGGAGGACTGGCCCTTTCAGCCTCAGTAGCAGGTTCCCCAGCCGAGGCTCACTCAGGCTGTACCTGTAAGGTGCACTTGGCATGAATAGAGCTTGCAGCACGAGAAAGCCTTCGAAACTAGGAAGGAACAATTCCTCAAAAATAGAAAATAAGGATGCTAAACTGTTTATCTCAGTCTACTGCCTTGGCTACTCAATACTCAGTTTCTGTTTCCTGTATTTTACCTCATAAAGCAACCACATCATGTGACTTAATGACAGAAAGTTTCTGAGAAGTGCATCATTAGCAGATCGTAGTACATACGTCACAGTATGCTCACACAAACCTACTTAAACATGACCTGCTGCACACTCAGGCCATGAGAAATAGCCTGTTGCCCCCAGGCTACAAACCTGTACAGTGCGTTACTGTACTGAGCACTGTGTACTGAATAGCGGTATTTCTGCACCTAAGCATATCTAAACAGAAAAGGACAGCAGAAGTACGGCGTAGACGCTGAAACAGTGCACTCGTGTGGTGCACTTAGCGTGAATGCAGGTTGCGGCACTGGAGTCAGCGAGTGAGGAGTGAATGTACAGTTCTAGGACATCATTGCCCACTACTGTGGACTGAGTAAACACTGGGCATTTAGGCTGCACTGAAAGTATTAAAGACTGTTTGCTCATTTTAATTTTTTTAACTTTTTAAAAAAGTTCTTGCTCTATGGCATGTGTGCTAAGTTGAGAAAGAGAGAAAAATCACATCCTAGGAGGGATGACTGTGCTACAATCCCTCCTCCATTCTCTTCAGATTTTGGGTACACATGTACATGTGCCCAGTGTGATTTTCAAGCTGCAGAGTCCAGGACTCAAACCATGAAGTTGGCCATGTGACATCTAGCCACCTTCAGTATACCAACTGCTGGCCCCCTTTTTTTTTTTTTTAACTTTGCACACTCATTTTGTTAAAAACTAAGACACACACACAGCCTTGGCCTACACAGCATCAGGATCATCAATATCACTGTCTTCTGCCCTCCACATCTTGTCCCACTGGGAGGTGTCAGGGGTAGTAACACACATACAGCTGTTACCTCTGTGATCACAATGCCTTCTGGAATATCTCCTGAAGGACCTGCCTAAGGCTCTTGAGGTGTTACTCATCAGAAATATGCCCAGGGTTGTTTGCTCGGTTTTCCTTTTTTCATTGTAGATTTGCTTGTAAGCAGATTATGCACCATGACTATTTTTTACAGGGTGTATAAATCCTATAACGTTGACAAATTTGGAATGTTTTCTTCCAGATACCCTCCATATACTGCTTGGTGACATCTTTCCAAGCCCAAGCAAGTTTCCTGATGCAGTCATAGATGTTGTAATCCTTCCAGAATTGAGTCTAACCTCTGTACCAACTGTCTGGGATGTGGAGCAAGGAAAGGAGATGACATTTAGCCTTAAGATTTATTGTCTAAGATCAGCACCCCCCAGCACAGCAGTTAAGTGCAATGCCAAAGAAGATGAATTTCACATGGCTAACCAAAGGTCAAATCTTGACCCCAGTAGCTGGAAAACTGAGTATGTGTATATCTACGTATGTATCTAACCCCTGTCTCTCTTTTCTTATAGGGTATATAGGGTGTAAGTGCTTGCTGGAGAGAGAGAGAGGGAAAGTGACAAATCTCCCCCAGGGGAAATGGCCAAGCTGCAGTTTCTTCTCTTTCATTCTCCTCTTTGGGCATGCATACACATGTATCCAGCGTGACTTTTAAGCTGCCAGGTCTGGGACTTGAACTGTGCAGTCAGCGATGTGGAATCCAGCACTTTAGCCTCCAGACCACCTGCTTGCCCCCCTCTCTTCTAATGAAGCACTTCTGGTGCTTTCTTTTTTAAAAAATTTTATTACAGTTTTAACTTGCTCATCAAAGAGAGACAGGAAGAGAGAAAAAAAAAAGTGAGAAAGGCCACCAGGTCTGGGACTTGAATTGTGGTTGGCCATGGGGAAGTCTAGTGCTGCAACCCCCATACCACCTGCTGGCCCCATGGAGCCCATGTTTTCAAACTTTTTAAGGAGCGTGTTGAGGTCTGTAAAAGCTTCTGCTAGACACTACTCTGAATTTTCTTGGAGGTTTTCTTTTTTCCCTCCTGCAGTTTCCTTTTCTCTCGCCTATTCTTCAGCTGTGCCTTTCTGTTCCATTTCCAACAACTCAGTTCTTCAGAAACCACCTCCATGAGCTGCTCAATGTCCTCATTCATCATACACAAGTTAAAGTTGTCATCTGTCTTAGTCCATTTTTGTGTTGCTAACAGAAATACCTGAGAGTGGGTGGTTTGTAAAGAAATAGGAGTTAGTTAACTCAATTCTGGCAGCTGGAAAGTCTGAAGACAGACCTGGCATCAGGCTGACTTACATCTTAGCCAACAGAAGCCTACAGGATGGTGGGTGCATGCAGAGACTCTCTTTTCCAGCGACAAGCTCTCCTGAGAAATAACTTCATGAGATCTAAAACTCAACTGGGTCTCAAGAGATATCCTGAATCTATTCACAAGAGTGGTGCCTCCATAAAATAGTCTCCATGAACTACTCACTGACCTCCCAAAATTAATTCTAAATCATGAAACCTCAGGGGACAAACCACCATCCAAAACATAACACCATCTCAGCCACAATCCTGATTTCTTAAACTCCTCTTCCTAGGCAGATCCTATAAAGTTGCTGACAAATCTTTGAGTGTTTTCTTCCAGATACCCTCCCTGTACTGCTTGGTGACATCGTTCCAAGCCCAAGCCAAGTTTCTTGATGTAGTCATAGATGTAATCCTTCCAGAATTGGGAGTCTGACCCCTGTACCATGTGCCCTGGATGTGGAGCAAGGAAAGGAGATGACTTTTTAGCCTTAAGATTTATTGTCTAGGACTAGCCCCCAGCACAGCAGTTAAGTGCAATGCCAAAGGAGATGGATTTCACATGGCCAACCATGGTCAGATCTTGACATTGAAAAACATTGGGTATGTGTGCACATGCCCAGGATCCTGACGGGATGGAGAATTGAAGAAAAAAAGTATTGCAGCACAACCAAGCCCTGTGAGAGGTGTGGGGGTGAGGGCAGGGGTAGGAGGTTGGGGAGTGGCGTGCTCTCTTTCTCATACTTACACATATTCTCTCTGGTATAAAAGTCTCAGATGAGACTTCTGACTTTGGACTTTTGAATTACTGGAAGTTCAGACTTTTGGAACTATTGGGAATGGAATGAGTTTATTTTACATGTGAGGACTCGTGGTGGGGGAAGGGGAATGCTATGGTCTGGATGTTGTTTGCCCCCACCGAAGCTTGTGTTGAGGCTAGATGTCAGTGCACCTGTGTGAGAGGTGGGACTTGTGAGAGGTGGGGCCTAATGGGGTATGTGGGTCATGGAAGTGCCAAAGGGCTATCCTCACGAGTGTATTGGTGGTGGTCGGTCTTATGGTGCTGAGTTCTTGCTTTCACGATCCCGGGTTAGCTATTGTGACAGTGGGTTGTGTGACATAAAGAAAATTAAATAGAGCCTATTTGTTCCAAAATGGGGTTGAGAGGCTCCAAAGGAAGCTGAGACTGGGCACACAGAAGGTGGCCAATCTTGGAATGTGCACTCTGGGCACATTCCCACTTTGGTGCTGGCCCTGTAAGGACATTTGAACTAGTTCTGTTAGGTTGTTGGGGAAGTCATGACATATTTTTCTATGTTTCTCTATGCAAAAATGCATCATGACTTCCCCAACAACCCAATAGATGCCATCAATACATGCTGGGATTTTGTGGGAAAACAAACAACAAAAAAACAAAACAAAAGCAAGCCTCAGAACCAAAGTCTCTTTCTTGTCCCTCATCTCGATCATCTTTGATATTTTCCTTTCCCAGAGAACAGGAAAGACTTTCCTCTGATATTCCATTACTGGCCCATAGATCAGTCCCACCAAAGGAGAAACTGTTATCATTTGGTCCATTCCTTGAGGTTGATTAATTCATTTTTTTTTAAAGAATTATTTTGAGTTTATTTATTTATTTATTAATTAAATTTGACCAGAGAGGGAGAGAGAGAGAGCAGGCTGCCAGATCCAGGACTCAAACCACCATTGGCCATGCGAGAGTCCAGTGCCCTTAACTACCACGCCACCTGCCGGCCCCATTAACTCATTTCTTATTGCAGGAAGGAAGATTGAAGCATGTCAGTATACCTGGACAGAGTCTATCACAAACTGTTGTCTCTCTCCCCAGCTCATCCAGTTCCCAAAGAGAATTATGTACTTACCATTTTCTGAGCATTGAATGCACTTTTCCTCCTAAAAATCATTTTATGGTGTGCCAGATTCATCAGTTCCTATAATGACCCC